CTATAAAATGAATTAAGAGGAATAAAGGGGAATTAAGAGGAATTAAAGTGAATTAAGAGGAATTAAGAAAAGCAAGAGCAATCAAAGCTAACTATGAAGGACGACACAGCTAATTAAGAGGAAATAAAGTGAATTAAGTTTAATAAAAGTGATTTAAGAGTAATTAAAAAGAAATAAGTGGATGACTAAACAAATTAAGTGGATGACTAAGCTAATTAAGATTATGACTCAGCACAATGAGAAGGGTGACTCAGCACATTAAGAAGGAGACAGCAGATTAAGAGGGATGACTCAACGAATTAAAGGGCCCATGAAACGATTTTTGGGTTGGGATAAATCATTTTAGATTGGGATTTTACTAATAGCACATCGTTCAGTGGACCAAAATTAAAAAGGTAGAAAGTCAAAAGCCTGACTTTCAGTGCGAAAATTTGAAAACAGAGCGGACTATTTCGTACCTCCTCCCCTTCGCAACCTCTCTGCCTTTTCACTGTGATACATCCGCGGTCCCAAAGGCGCGTCAACGGGTCCAAACTGACGTCACACGCAACCGGACCTCATTTATTCCCTTCACCCCTAAGCTGACATTGTGGTGGAAGCTACGCGCTTGCCGGACCAATCAGCCGCCTCCATTTCATCACCTGACTTCATTCTCTGCAGCCACATTTGCCACGCTCACGTGGCAAGTGTGGCTGGCCCAACGAGCACGTAGCTTCAACAGCACTGTCAGCTTCGGAATGAACGGGGTGGGGAAAGCAACTTTTGTCTGAATTTTGAGCGACGGGCTAATCTTCTAGGGGGAGAATGGATGTGTCCGGATTACACAAACGAGAGTGCGAGCAAGAGGGGACTCCCCCTTTTCGTCTTCTTTAACTGTTTGGTGGAATGCGCGATTTATGAGTTGAGGAGGAAAGCTAAACAGGAAAAAGTTGGAAAAGCGTTTCATGACCCCTTTAAGCTGGCTAATTAAAGTGGCTATGAGAAAAATGCGAACGTGAAACAAAGTAAATCCTATGGCCGTTTTAGTGCCTCGGCGCTGGGGCTTTCGCCTTCAAGTCGTCTTAGGGATAACAGGAGGCGATAAGAACGTCCCGAATAACTACCAGGCCTATATCAGTATTACCTATCTTCTCTAAGGCACTTGAAAAAATTATGCTCGCACGCCTAAATTCGTTTTTCACAAAACGTTCTATACTAACGGACTCTCAATTTGGTTTCCGACAAGGTAAATCCACTGAAGCCGCTTTATTACTTCAAAAAGAAATTATATTGCAAAATATGGAAAAAAGGGCTTCTTACGTTAGGTGTATTTATAGACTTCAGTAAAGCGTTCGATGTTCTCAATCACCACATTCTTCTTGCTAAACTTGGCAACTATGGTGTCCGCGGAGTACCCCTTGCTTTACTTACATCATATCTACAATATGGGAAACAGTGCGTAGTAATTGAAGGTCATTACTCTTCCTTTCATAATGTTAATGCTGGTGTACCACAAGGGAGCATAGTTGGGCCTCTTCTATTTAATGTATACATAAATGATATTGTTAACATCGATCACCAAGTTCAGTTTGTGATTTATGCTGATGTTACGAGCCTCTTTGTTTCTGCTACTGATGCTGATGTTCTGATATATAAAGCGAATAATATCTTACGTAAATTTGACATGTGGTCCAATGTGAATGGCCTTAAAGTAAACACCCGAAAATCCAAAGCCATTTTATTTAGATATATTAATAAACCAGTTCTAACGGACTCTCAATTTGTTTTTAATATTAATTACTCCCAACCAGACAAATTTCTGTCAAATCTTTACTTTTAAACCAGTTCTGGTTAAAATTAAATCAAACTTGGTGATTCACAAATTGAATTAGTTAGCCAACATAAATTTTAGGAGTACTGTTTTCCGAGTATATGATGTGGGACTGTCATGTTAACTATCTAATTGCTAAACTCTCCATAGTTGTTGGCAATATTGCCCGCTGTCGTAATGTTTTACCAATCAGTATTAGGTTAAAACATTACTACGCACTGTTCGAGTCCAATTTAAATTTCTGTCATCTTGTACGGGCTACGACAACTAAGACAAACCTTCAAGATCTAATATTATTGCAAAAAAGTTTTACGTTATATCGCGGGTGTCTCATATACAGACCATACAGAACCATTATTTTCTAGATATCAAATACTTCCCGTAGAACGCGTATATAATTATCGTTTACTCTGTACCCTTGGTTTCTCATCGTTAACATTCCTAGATTTTTTGTATTTTATTTCTGAACTTGGGAGAAACGTGAAAGTAATATAAACACACACCGTGTAGACACTTGGCTCCTTCCTCGGTGCCGCACAAATTACAACCTCCAATCATCGCATTACAAAGTACCGTACGTGTTAAATAAATGTTTCACGAACAACATAAATATCTACACAATAGACCCTTTCCGGAACTCAGTGCCATCTGGTGACTCAAATGGCAGTTTATCTTTTACTATACTAATGGCGGCAATGAGCCTGTGGTCTGCAGTATTTAATGGGGCACCGTCACTTAAAGGTCAACGGTAAACGAGAATGTTCACTTCCCTACAATTATTTTTCCATCTCTTTTAGTGTCGATGGCGAAACAAATGCAGCCAGTCGGAAAGAAGCGCCAACCCACATAGACGCCTTGATAGAGTCCTATACATCAAGAGGCTTTGAAGCCGATTGAGTGCTATACTAACAGATCGACTGGGACTGAGTTAGAAATGAACGCTTACGCAGCTTTTGCTTCCAATTCCTGCTTCACGTCGCGCTAACACCTCGAATGTATAGGCCTCGAATCATCTGCTCAGGAGCCTCTTCAACTTCTTCCTTCATCAGTAAACAGAAGGCCGCCATTAGTATAGCACATATGCCGTTTTCAGATGATGATGATAGTCATCAATTTGGCCAGACTGAATTCCGGAAAGGGTCTATTGGCAAAAAAGGCTTACGTACCTATTGTTTCAACTATTCATAACTAATTTTGTTCTTCTGATACTTCAATGTTATGTGAACTTGTATTATTTTTCTCATCATCCTGGTAAAGTGTTTCATATGTTTGTAGTCCGAGCTGCTGCCATGTATAAGGGGAACCCAGACCAAGTCGAGCTGCTTTTAGCAGCTTTTCGTCTGTGGACCCCTCCAGTACTTCGGAAAAATAAAGTTTATTGTATTGTATTGTATTGTATGAGAGACCCTGTGAATTTTTTTTCCACCCTTTGGGTACTCCTCGAGACACGTAGGACTGAAATAATACTTAAAAAACAAGCGAGCTGGTGATGATTCATGGTAATAAACCCGCGAGACTCAGGAACACAGAAGGGGACGAACACAACACAACACAACAGGAAGTGTCGCAAACACCTGAGCAGGTAGAACAGTTGTCGTCTTCACCGCGCTCTCGAAGGATTCTCTCGATGTTCGGGATCATCGCAGATGCTGACTGCTCGGTCTTGCCTTCGGTCTAGAGCAGGGGTCTCAAACGTCCGGCCCGTGGGCCGCATGCGGCCCGCCGGCAACCGGCTACGAGTCCTGATTCCAATATCTCGAGCACTAGAAATGGCAGACGTCTTTGTGATCTCATCTCGCCGATTCATTTTCGCTCGAAAAATCGCTCCGCTCTTTTAGCGTATTCATATAGTTTTACTTAACCGTGTTCATTTCCCTTTGTTTCGCTTTATTGTTTGCTTCCCAACTTTTTGTAAGGTACAACAATTCCGCTACAAGGCTACAAGCGCGAGTTCTTTGCTGAAGGACGTATTTCACCTGCGCGAAGTCTCGATCAGCTCCATGGAGCACCTGCCGAAAATAAAGCGCCGAGCTCGGGATTCTCGCCTTAAAAAAATAACACCATTAGAATACAAGTTTTGATATCGTAATTGAAATCGTCAGGAAAGCAAGAATTGTCAAATAACTGACTGTTTTTTTAGAGACATGTTGAACTTTGTTAATTTCTGAGTGAATTGAGCAAAGGGAACGATAGTGTACTAGCTCTCTCGTTCTATAAAAAGTCGAGCACTTTGGCGGGGCGGTGCCGTTCCATTTATTGTTATCACATCAGGTCAGGGCCCAAAGTAGTCATATGAACAAATCAAATCTAAAGATGTTACTTTCAAAACTGAGTTTACTAATAGCATAGAGCACAAGGTCTCTTTTCTTAAAAATCTTTCAACTCCCCTCCCCCCCGTCTAACGTTGGCCCTCGGCCTTCCCAGTGTCGGCTATCTGGCCCCCACGCTCAAAGGAGTTTGAGACCACGGTTCTAGAGGCTGGTTCACACATTCGCGTTCTGACGTGACCGCACAGAAGCACATGGGCGCCATCTGTCGGCGAGGTATAGTTCTTTCAGTAGTTTGGTAAAGTTTAAGCTCCTCCCGCCTCTTTCCGCTTTGGCAGAGCGAACGCTTTAGAGGGCGCGACCCTCTCCTGCGTTCGCTCTGCCAAAGTGGAAAGGGGAGTTTCCTTCCCGAATTGTGCATCTGTCACCAACTATAGCGTATAATCAAACTGAAAGGTTTCTTGATGTTTGCGAGATGATATCTTCGCACTATCTAGGAGAAACAGTCGCTCGCGACGAAATTACTTCGAGCCCACGGCGAACGAGTGGTACGTAGAAAATGTTATCTACGCAGGCTGGAATGGTTCCGAGGATGGCCGATAGAGGGTGCCAGTGTATTAGGCTGTTACGATAATGTGTGAAGCGGCCTGCTTCCGTTACGCTGGGCACGAGGCGCGAGTTATTTTGCCTTTTGAGCACCTCTTGCGTTTACTTTACCCTTTGTTTGCGCCCACGTGCATTTCTTTCCCCCGATATGGAGCAATGAGAGCGCGCACTGGGCTGTCTCGTCATCGCAAGTCGCGCTCTCTATGTCGGTTGGCGCGTCCTTTCTTGCCTTTTGATGCGCCGAGGACGCGTGGTTTTGGGCCACTTGCTCTTCGCTCACCTGCTCACCGGCGGGTCTTTCCTCTTTGCAGAACACAATGGCGGACGAAGACGTGGTGATCACGGGCTTCTCGGCCTACTTTCCTCAGGCCAACCACCTAGCTGAGTTTCGGAAGAAGCTCTATGATGGCGTCGACATGGTCACCGACGATGAGGCACGCTGGCCCAGAGGTAGGTCGCACCGAACTATCCGCCCGTGCACTCTAAAGGAGGAGGGAGGGTAGACCTTTCCTCCTCCTCCCCTCATTAATATGCTCCGGGGGGGTCACCCAACACCTCCTAGAAGACAAGGCCGTAGCGCTCTTCTCGTGACGTCGCAAAGGAAGGCCATCGGGGGCGCGCGTCGAAGCGAAGGCAACGCGCGTGGATCGACCGTCGTAACGCGTTTTTAGTCACATACGCGTGTCATATTAACTAAAATGAAAGCTGCACATAGCAACGGGTATAAAAAAACATTTTATTACACGAGCAAAATATTACACCGCTAAATAATCGGTACGAAATGGCACGAGGTATGCGTACAAGACGTCTATAGAAAAATGTGATTGTTTTAAGTCGAAAACATTGAGTCATGCAATTATTGTTGTAGGAATGCATATTTTATACAGAAATACTTCGACAAAATGGCGAGACACGCAGTGATTTGGAAACAGCAAAACAGTTAAAAATCAGGTAGACGTAGTCAACGCGGACAAGGAAAGACAAGTGTTTCTCACGATCATGTAAGCGACGTTATCGCGTGCAGTCACTGAATTCTTGCATCATACCCCGGCCACATGGCAAAATTAATGTAATTTCGATCGAATGACATTATGGGGTCGACAAATCCGCTTGCGGCGCTCGTATAATCACTCAAGACCGTGAGCTGATTAAATCCTATATGACTGAATGCAAATATATTAACTTTTCCGTGTGGCAGGGGTACTAAACGTACTACTTAGTTTACTAATTTACTCCTCCCTATGGGCTCGAGCTGTCTTAGAACAAAACATAACTTATTTTGTATATAATAATACTATTACCTTAATAGTTAAGATTCTAGTATACACATTAACCTTAGTATAAATAAACACAGAACCACAAACAACGCACTTTCAATAATCGCACAAACTTGTTTTTCACCTTCCAGTGAAAACTAGATTACCGCGCATATTTACAAATGTCGACGCAACTGCATACGAATAACGACAAAGAACAAAATTGCGATCTATCATGCGATTAAAAACACGATTGCAGCATTTTACTTGCGTCCTACATGACCAAGAAAGCCCGTAAATAAGTTGTTTCTCACCTGTCGATCGTATCCATACGTCCCACAATATCCGTGACGAACACATTTGAACACGAACTCCAAGCCTCTCTCTGTCGAGAGAGGTCTATCGATTAATCGAACAGAGTCTTCGTTGGCTAGTTGTCACACGTCACTCAAACCTTAGCAGGACTTGTTTCACGAATCCACGTAAATGCCGTAGTATCCAAGCGAAAACAAAAAAAAGTACCCGAGACTACGGTGATGACAGAAATACGACGGGAAACAAGTCTCAAAAGTACCACACACGAGAGCAGCGGCGACGAAAGGCTTAACGTTGTCGACCCATCTCTTGCTGGTGTGCGCTCCCTGCGACAATGACTGGATTTCTTTTCGGTTTCCTTCCCTTCTGAGATGTCTCAGCGTTCCTTTTCAGACAGTCAGCAGCTCACACACAACGCAAATTTACCAGAATCGGAGCCATGTGGCATCGGCAGCATCGCAGCCGGTCCTTTGGAAAAGTGTCGGGTGCTGCGGAACTGCACGTAGTCCCGCGGTTACGGAGATATTCATAAATATAAATTTGGTACTCTCAACCTTGGAAGCGCGTTGTATATTACGTTTATATTATATATATAATAAATTGTACAATACTGCGCCTTTAAAACGTATATTAATGTCGGATAAACGCGCATGAACGAACACCGCCGCGCCGCTTGTCAAGGATCATTTTTTTTCACGTCGATAGCGTATTCTCACGTAGTTGCGCCATGGACTTCCTTCCTCCGCCATTGTGACGTAACCTCTCAGAGCGCTATGGCCTTGTCTTCTAGGAGGTGTTGGGTCACCTGACCTCGGGGGGAGGGGGTCACGTGACCTTGGGGGGGGGGGGGGGTGTCGCGTGTCAGACCTCCTTTCTAATGACGCGCCCCCAAGCGGACACAAGAAAAAGGGAGGAACGAAACGTTTTTCTCCTTCTCCAGGCAGACTGGGGAAAGCTTTCGCCGTACCGACTCAAATTCTTTCGGTTTCGGTTTTCGAGCACGTCGCGTACGTTGTTTAATACATGTTGTTGAGTGGATTGAGCTTCAGCGGCAGCGAAAACCGCCTGTAATTCCGTCTTCTAGTCCAAACGTGCAGAACATTTCGGTTGCATTAACGTTTTTACCACTAATTGTATCAAACGAGTAAATGAAGCTGCTAAAAACAGCGAAGTTCCGGAGCAGTGCCAGCAGCGCAACGTACATTGGGTAAGATGGCCGTCTCCGGATTGTGGAACCCACGCGGAACTACAGTAGCGGAACCACGCGGAACTGTGTCGACGTTTTCGACGTTATGGAAATTGCAGGAACTGCGTCCAAGACCGGCAGGTTTTGCTGCCAGCTGCCTGGGTGCCTTCCGTTCTGAGTTCGGTTCTGTTTTCCGTTGCTGAGTGCCAACCAGGAATCAACGTGGTTCTGTATTTCTGCGTGTCAGCAACATAGCAGCAACATCGTGATGGCATTGTTGTGCGTTGTGAACAGAAGACTGGAATTATCGCCGATTTGACCGTGTGTTCGCGTATCAGTAGTGTAACAACTAGATGAGATAATGTAAACTGTCGGGCACTAATGCCGCTGGTCCAGCCGTGATCGGAGGGGGCGGGGTGTCGCAGGTTGACATTCCGCTTTACGTTAAAATGTTTGAGACCCCTTGAGGGATAAAGTGCAATCGATCGACGTGCGGATAGTCGTGTTGGAACGCTCGTCTGAACCGTAAGCTCCTATCGTACAGTGGCCAATGTGACTGTCGGTTGTCTCCTCCCCGAGAGCGATTGCGCTCTAGGGAAAGGACTGAACAGTACAAAAATTTTGACGGAAAGTACGTGTATTTACAGTTTGGGATTTTAGCATTAAAAAATGTTAGGTAAAAATCGAAAAAAAGAAAGCTGTTTACAACTCGCTGTAACAACGAATTAGAGTGCAGCTCTTGAGGAGGAGGAGGAAAGGGTACTGAGGGTCACGTGCCCTCGTGGGGAGGGGTCACGTGACCGCTCAAGGTCACTTGACCTTGGTGGGGTTACGTGACCTCGGGGTAAGGGGTCCATGGGGGGGGGGTCACGTGACCCTCTTAAGGTCACGTGACCTCGGGGAAGGGGTCACGTGAACTGGGGTGTCACGTGACCTCAGGGGCGGTCACGTGACCTGGGGGGTCACTTGACCCCCCAGAGAAATTTTCCCACTAGATTTAGTGGGTGAATTTTTTCCGCTAGATTTAGCGGAACAATTTTCCCACTAGATTTAGCGGGTAAATTTTTTCCGCTAGATTTAGCGGGGCAAATTTTCCGCTAGATTTAGCGGGAAATTTTTTTTCGCTAGATTTAGCGGGGAAGTTTTTCCGCTAGATTTAGCGAGGAAAATGTTCCGCTAGATTTAGCGGGGAAATTTTTCCGCTAGATTTAGCGGGTAAATTTTTCCGCTAGATTTAGTGGGGAAATGTTTCCGCTAAATTTAGCGGGAAAATTCACCCATAATGCACCGCGCGGTTACGGCGACGCCGCTCATGCCGGAAACGGGCGCCTAAGAGCTGCGCTCTAAAAATAAAGTCGTTTACAACTTCCGGTAACGCCGAATTAGAGCGCAGCTCTTGAGGAGGAGGAGAGCAAGGTACGGAGAGGAGGCTATGCCCCTCCTCCTCTCCTGCTCGCCTTCCATTTAGGGGAAATTTTTCCGCTAGATTTAGCGGGGACATTTTTTCCACTAAATTTAGCGGGGAAATTTTTTCGCGTGATTTAGCGCGGCAATTTTTTCCGCTAAATTTAGCGGGTAAATTTTTCTGCTAGATTTAGCGGGGAAATGTTTTCCACTAAATTTAGCGGGGAAATTTTTTCGCGTGATTTAGCGGGGCAATTTTTTCCCCTAAACTTAGCGGAGACATTTTTCTGCTAGATTTAGCGGGGAAATTTTTTCTTTCCACTAAATTTAGCGGGGAAATTTTTCCACGTGGTTTAGCGGGGCAATTTTTTCCGCTAAATTTAGTGGGGGGATTTAGCGGAAAAATTTTCCCTCTAGATTTAGGGGGGGGGGGGGGGGGGATTTTCTCGCTAGATTTAGCGGGAAAATTTTTCCGCTAGATGTTTCGGGGAAATTTTTCCGCTAGACTTAGCGGGTAAATTTTCCCACTAGATTTAGCGGTGAACATTTCCCGCTAGATTGAGCGGTGAAAATTTTCCGCTAGATTTAGGAGGGGAATTTTCCCGATAGATTTAGTAGTGAACATTTTCCGGTAGATTCAGCGGTGAAATTTTCCCGCTAGATTAAGGAGGGTAATTTTTCCGCTAGATTTAGCGGGGAAATTTTACCGCTAAATTTGGTGATGAACAATAAGGAGTTGTAGTAGATCGTTTTTCTCCTCCGCTACGTTATCCCCGAAGAAAACGCCGCAGCTGCACATGCGCGCCGCCAGCCTTCTCTGCATAGTTCAAGGTCTTGTGGCGGATTACGGAGCGATATCCGGGTGCTTAGCGGGCTGCCGGAACGGTCTACTACAATTCCCTATTTTCCGCTAGATTTAGCGGTGACATTTTCCCTCGAGATTTAGAATTTTCCCGCTAGATTTAGCGGGGAAAGTGTTCCGCTAGATGTAGGAGGGGAATTTTCCCGCTAGACTTAGCGGGGAAATTTTTCCTCTAAAATTAGCGGTGAATATTTTCCGCTAGATTTATCAAGAAATTTTCCCGCTAGATTTAGGAGGGGAATTTTCCCTCTAGCTTTAGCGGGGAATTTTTCCGCTAGATTTTTCGGGAAAATGTTTCCGCTAGATTTAGGGGGAAATCTTCCCGCTAGATTTATCAGAAATTTCTTCACTAGATTTAGCGGGGAAATTTTTCCGCTAAATTTAGCGGGTAAATTTTTCCGCTAGATTTAGCGGTGAACATTTTCCG